AGAGTGACATCCCCCTTAACCCATTGTAATCAACATGTTGACAATTGAATAACTTTTGTTGATCGAACATTACTACACAAAGCTTATACTATGAATTCACAAGCTAAGGGATTTGGGACACATTTGGTGTAATATTTGGGCCAGATGCTCAAAGTGTTACAATGTTCTCCACCACTCCGGCGCAACTCCAGGGTAATGCTATATATGGATATGGTTGTTTCTTGATGCTGAACTGGTGACATGGAATGTCTGAGATGCCTTTTGGGGGGGAAAATAATTCCAGTCCTGGCTGATATCACTCATATCATGAACTATATCATATTTAAACTAAGAAACAAGATGGACTTGGACAGCAATGATAGAGCATGCTCTAGAGAGAGATAATCTGAGGGTCAAAGTGGGCAAGGAAATCAACCTTATGCGGTTATACTACCTGAGCAATCAAACAATATCAATTACAACTGTCAGAAAATACTTTTTGGGGAATAATAGATGCATTAATGAATGGTAGTTCAAGTACATATATAGACATGAGCTCGACACCCTCAAGTATACGGTTCTCTACTATCTCACATACAGATATACATCAGCTAACACTCCCCCACAGGCTGAACAGGGAAATGCACCAAGCTACCAACCAGTGGCGGTAACACCAAGCAGTAGTATTTGACACCCTTCAATCAGTGGCAGTCCAATAATCGCCCGTCGGGATCGCGGCGGATATAATTTCAATAACAATTTGACCTCCTCCACTCCCAGCACCCCTGTGTCACTCCCATCCTTTCTCAACCCATGGATGGGAATGGTTCAGGTGTGGCCGCATGGGTTTCCTACTAGCTTGTTGGTATCTTGGGCTTGTGCAACACCGTGGACGCCTCCTGTTCCACATATGCTCACTGCAGCCTACCTGGCACTGCTGGTTTTCCACGCCCAGTTTCTCACACCAGCTAGCGTGCAGCGCCGTTCTAGTATGGTGGTTTTCCCACACAACAGAAGCAGCCTGCAACGTTTTGGCATCCGATGATGTGGTTCTTGGGATCAACAGTCCCTTGCAAACGCTTTCAACACCATGAGTCCATGACATTGACTTGGTCCTGTCCACGGGTGAGTAGTACATGGACCCGGGTGCTTCCTCGCACATGTCGTTAGATGCCAGTATACTCTCTTTTTCTTGCTCACCTTCACCTTCCACTCATTCATCCATCATTGTAGATAATGGGTCTATGCTTCCAGTTACATCTACTGGCTTGTTCTTTTGCTACCGTGCGTGGTCCCCTTTTCGTTCAAAATGTTTTGGTTACTCCAAACATAATTAGAATCCTATTTCTATTTATCGTTTCAGGCCAGACAATAATGGTTCCATTGAGTTTGACCCCTTTGGTCTTTCTGTGAAGGATCTGCGCACACAGAGCATGATTGCCAGGTGCAATAGAACCTGTGAGCTGTGCCCCTTCAGTTGTGCCTAGGCTGTTGCTGCTACCGCACCCACGACCACACTTTGGCATTGTCGACTTGGTTCGCTCATGAAGCCATTGCAAAGATTATTAGTTATACCGCCATGCCATGTAACACAAGTACTAGTAGCAATGAACCTTGGAGTCATGCTCGTCAGCTTAGCCCCCACGTGCAGCTCCCTTTTAGTTCATCGCATTCACGAGCTCTCAATAGTTTTGAGCAACAGTCAGTGAAGGGAGGAAGACCGGAAAGGGTCAGGTTGTGTTGCATCAGAAAAAAAAATACGCATTCCGAACCAGCAATAGGGCAGCATGGCAGATGGTTAACAGGAATAGAAGATGGGAGAGAAACCAGTGGCACATGAACAGGTGACCAGGGAAACTGATCCCGTGATGGCGATTGCACTGGGGTAACGTTGGCTAGGGTAAGTGGAAGCACAAAGGTCGAAGAATCTAACCATCTCGTGATACCATGAAAGAAGATAGTTTTTGGGATAATAGATGCACTAGTCGATGGTAGTTCAAGTACACACAGCTCGTACACGTACATGGACCTCTCCTATCTCACATACAAGTATATGGCAACACATAAGTTAACAGCAATACTGATGCTAAAACATGAAAACAACAAGAATTTTTTCCTATTCTCTGTGTCCCAGAGGCCAGGAGACAGTAGTCACCAACTTTTCTTACTGGCCAGGGGAAGTCAGTATTCTCTACTTGGATTACAGCAGAGACTGCGATATATATAAAAAGGAAACGAAATCTTTGATGTCATTGAGAAGGTTCAGGGCTGGCTAAACACGGGTGAAGTGTTATAATACCATCAACAAGATTTAACAATTCACATTTCCATTTGAGAAAAATGATACATACATGGTTATATAAGAACCAGAGTGTGTAATGCTACAATGCTTTGACCTTCTAAGAGCATCTCCAACCGAACCCTCAAATTTTGAACCCCTATCCTTGAAAGTAGGGCTCCCTCATCCAGATTCCATCCCCTACTTAGCTGTGAACTCCATCCGATCCCTCATATTTGCCTCCCTACTTTCTCCCACCTCTATTTTATGCATATCTTGTAACTAACAAATCAACCATTTTTAACAGCTATATTTTCAACGTTTATACTTTTGATTAATGGCTACATTCCAATGGCCATTTTTTGTAATGACAATTTTTTCAACGTCTCTTTTTTAGAAGCCCATATTCCAGCAAATTTGTTGCAACGTCTCTATTTCAAATGGCTCTATTTGAAACGAATCTATTTCCAACGGCTCTATTTCGAACGGCTCTATTTCAAATGGCTCTACTCCAAACGGCTATATTCCAACGTCTCCTGATTTTATCTTTATATATGCTTGCACACTCACCTGGTTCATACACCAACTCATTCGTTTTTTGCTCCTTCTCTACTCTGTTGTTCCTTCTCCACCAGAAATGAGTCGTCTCTCTCGCTTAGATTCATCCTCATCTTCGGATGATGATGATGAGCCTGAGCTCATCCTTAGTGCATTACACCAAGCCCACACTCAATATCTAGCTTTGAATAGTCCACGTTGGGGAGGTTCTATACCTTGCCGGAACTATATTCATAGAGAAAGTGGCCATTTTAGACTCTACAATGACTATTTCTCGGAGCATCCAACCTATGGGGAATCTATATTCCGACGCTTGTACTCATCGTTTTATTAAGCATGCACCATATATCGTGCCTTCTATTTAAAGACACACATAGCTCATAGTCCACGTATAGAGGCAATAAGAATTAAACTTAGTGGTTCGGACATATCGTGCCTTGTACTGTTGGTGTTGGATCAAGAAACTTGTATAAGCTTGCTCTCAACTAGATCAAAAAACTGCAGCAGCCTGTATCAAGAAACTACAACCAAGATAGCACCAGGTTCAGATAACAACGATTAACTAAAACTGAGATAACACATGCATCAGATTTCAACAGCATATATTTGATACTACTTGACCAACAATTAATAAGTTTCAGATAAGGACCATAGTCTCAGGTTCACTACTTGACCAACCATTAGCTAAAGATAATTGACATTAACTAAAGGCCAAAGAATCCAGGAGCACACAAGCATCAGATTCACACCAAAAAATCTGTTTAAATTGCAAGTAGAAGCATATTGCAAGTTACTGTATTCAGATTTATATTGCAAGTTTTCTGAATTTTCTACTACATACAACACTGGTATCTGAATTTGCTACTAAAAATAGCATTGCTATCTGAATTTGAAGGATGTCCAGCATTACTCAAAACATGAGGATGCTGACAATATTTTAATCAAGTTCACATCTCAAACATAGAACTACAAGATTGTGCTACTGCAATTCATCAAACAGATCGTAGTAGCTAAGTAACATAAGCATGAGAAAACAATGAGAAATCATAAACAGTGAAAGCTTGGCACTGTCAACCAGAGAAGTGACGAGTGGGGATTTCTGTTCTACTCATATAGGAATTAATTCGAAGAAGGCACGTGAGATTACCACATATTTGTTGGTCGATTTCCTTGCGGGGAGTTGCCTGCTCCGCTGCAAGAGGCAGATCTGGGCCAAAATCCATCAATTGGAAGCGGCGGCGGCTGCAGCGGGAAGGGAAATCCGACCTGCTTGAGGTTGCGCAGCTGACAGTGGCGCAACCGACGGTGGCGCAGTGGGCGGCAGCTGTGGAGCCCGCGCCGCTCGTGGTGGCCGGCAGAGGCAGCCTCGCCCGCGCCGGAGGCGGACTCGCCCGCGTGCGCTCGTGGTGGCCGGCAGAGGCTGCCTCGCCCACGCCGCTCGTGGTGGCCCTCCCCGCGCCGCGCCCGTGGCCGTCGGAGGCGGCCCTCCCCTCGCCGCGCCCGCGCCGCTCGTGGTGATGAAACGAATCAACTCTCTCAACGCAGAGCAGGCACGAGCGGAGATGTCCGAGCGCGCGCAGGCTCGCGGCGGTTGCTCCCGCCGTGGATGAGGGATCTCGTGCGGTCCCCTACATGTGAGGGATGGGAGGCGATGGATGAGGGTCTCTCATCGGGTGGGAGTCGGATGAGGGATCGGTTGGAGAGCTGTTTTTACGGTTTGACTCTCAAAAGATGGATAGATGGATAGGGGGTTGAGTGCGGGATCGGTTGGAGATGCTCTAAGCAACAAGCCAACAAATTAGTACCAAGCTACTGTGTACCGGCTGGTTCTGGTTGGTTTCAGCTGATTCAATAGTGTTCTGTGAGAGAATAAGCTGAAACAAGCGAGACAAGTCGAGCCGAACAGGCTGATTCAGGATGGGCTCGGCTCTCAACATGATTTCAGAACCATTCTCATTCTCACCCGCAAAGGGATTCTCGTTTCACAATTCGATTTGGATGAAAGTTAAAATATATATATCAGGATGGGCTCGACTCTCAACACGGTTTCAGAACCATTCTCATTCTCACCGCAAAAGGATTCTAGTTTCACAATTCGATTTGGATGAAAGTTTGTTAAAAATAGGAACTTAATCATTCCACCGCAACGAATGCGTCTTATCTGCAGCAAGAGCCCGATCTGAATCTAGGTGAGCCACCCTAACAGCGAAGGAAAATGATTCATGAGAAGGGAATGGAACGTGCGTACGAATTCGCGGACGATGCCCTTGTAGACGAGGATGGGGACGGCGAGGCCGAAGAGGCCGACGACGGCGAGGCTGCGGCGCGTCCAGCGGAAGTTGAACTCGAGGTTCTCCCGGCCGGCGTTCCACTCCTCGATCCACTTGTTCTTGTGCACCTCCATCCCGCCACCCATCTTCTCCTTCTCCTCCCTTTCTCCCCTCGGATCGCGCGGCTCGTCGGCGACGGGTGGAAAGCCCTATGCGGCGGCGGCGAATCTGGTGGTGCGAGTGTCAGAGTGTGCGGCCGTGCAAGGCACTACCCAGCCACTACTCGGTTTTTCAGAATAGACCCCCGAATGTTCCGTTATTTTTTTCACGTTTCAATTACATGGAGCACCTCAACAAATTTAGCAATCTCATCTTCCCTGTCGCGACTCATCCGTCAGGGGCCTCCTGGCCTATCACGAGCTGCAATCTCCAGCGGTTCAGCCTATTATTCCTTCCTCTTTCTCTCCCTCTCGTCTTCTCAACTGACGGAGGCGGAGATGGCATCTGGCGCGGCGGAGAAGGGAAAGGCCCTGGCGGACGGGGCGGAGTCAGCGGCGGAGAGCGCGGCGCGGCGGGCGCGGGAGTGGAGCACGTGGGCGATGAAGAAGGCCAAGGTGGTGGCCCACTACGGCTTCATTCCCGTCGTCATCCTCATCGGCATGAACTCCGAGCCCAAGCCGCGCCTCGCCCAGCTCCTCTCCCCCATCTAGGCTGGCTCGATTGATTCCCCGTCGGGTGTTCTTTGCTCCGATCCGCCCCGCGAGCGCATTCGGTTCCTAATGCGTATGTATTTTTACCATTTTCTTTCCGTTTGATCTAATACAATTGGGTCTCAAGTTTAGTTGTACCCGAGTTTGGGATTTAGGATGAAGTGGCTTTCGAGTCCAAATCCCCAGAAGTTCGTTTAAACTTTCAACCAAACATCAGAAATTACTTGGACAATCTCCCAAGTTCAGTTCGTCATAGGTAGGAGCAGGTTTGTTCGGATCATGGAAACATTCTCCCTGTTTTGCAAGATTGAACTGTATGATGAGAGATTGAGTGGTTTCGTGTCGCACATTCCTCATTTCAAGCATGCCCCACGCTCTTCTGAAAACTGAGAATCTCTTCATTTCCCACCGGGTTTCAGGATTAACTTTTTTTTTTCCTGCTTTGTGCTTTGCTAGCAATAGTTCAGGCGGATCACAGTTATTCCGAACTTAAATTTGTAGTAGGCTAGGGCAAGGGTAGCAATATTGTACGGAGTACAAAGTGAGCGAACAAAGAGCCTGTTCGGCAGGCTTTAACGGCTTATCAGCTTATCAGTCAGTCAAGAACGTTTTTCTCTCATATTAAATCAGCTAGTAGTACTTCAATCATGAGTTTATAAGCCAATCCAACTGAAACGAACAGGCTAAAAATGGTTTTGATGAATGGCCACTCAAACGGTCAGCCTACGGCCCCCCTCTAAAATTTAGTGCACGTTATGTCGGATGTTCGACATTAATTTAAAATATTAAATATAGACTAAGAGCCTGTTTAGATTCCAAAAAATTTTGCGCAGTATCCGTCACATTGAATCTTGCGGTACATGCATGGAGTACTAAATGTAGACGAAAAAAAACTAATTGCACAGTTGGGTGAGAAATCACGAGACGAAACTTTTGAGCCTAATTAGTCCATAATTAAACACTAATTATCAAATACAAATGAAATGCTACAGTGAGCCAAAATCCAAAAAAATTTGGATCTAAACGGGGTCTAATTATAAAACTAATTGTATAAATTGAGACTAATTTACGAGACGAATCTATTAAGCCTAATTAGGCTCATGTTTAGTTTTTCTAATTAATATCCAAATAACCGATGTGACATCTACTAAACTTTAGTCCCTGAATCCAAACACCCTAGTTTTGTCGCACATTGGCACATTGTTTCGGCGTTGCGGTAACGCAGGATGGTAAACCTTGCCGCTCTAATACGTGCATGTCTCTTGCGCCTGGGAAACACGGCACTACTACTCACCGAACGGTGAGTCGAACCGGCGCACGGCGATGGGTGGGGGCAAATAATGAAAACTCAGAGACACGGTTGCGGGCACGTGTACGACTCTTTTAACTGACGTACACGCGTCCATACATATTGCAATGTGTAGTTCCTCTCTCTCTATAACGACGGTTCTTCTTCGCTTGGATGACGTCCTGCAAATCCCTAACCGCCCTGCCCACCGCTGGTCTCCACTGTCGCCCTGGCTAGCGGCTACCTCGTCGATGATCTCATTGGCCGCCGCCCACCCCCGCAGTTTGTTCTCGCCCTTCCCTAATCTCAATCGACTATCTCTATCGCTACCTCTAACTGTCGTCGCCTCGGATGTCACCCTGGCAGCCAATGACCTAACCGCCCACCACCCGTCGCCGTTGTCCCGCCCTCCCCTAACCTGACCTCGTCCACCGATTGTCTTTCCCTGCCCGCTCAAGGGCGCCGCCACCGCCTTGCTCACACTGATCGACCGCCTAGCCGACCGCCACCCCCCGAGCTCGCTTCTCCTAAGGCCGGAGACCTCTCTCCCCTAACTGGGAGGGAGAAAAACGCCGCTGCCTCATGTCATGCCAGCCTCCTATGCATGTCCGTGCGTTGGCACTAGTCGCAGCGCACACGCGCTCAATAAGGATTTGGCAAGCCGGCAGATACTGTCAGGACTGATGATATACCTATGTGTGCGTCGGCAGGCATCCATCCCCGAGCCCACACCGTTCGCGTCCCGCCTCCGTCCCCGCGTCCGGCACTTCGGCTTTGCCTCCCGTCTCGTGCCGGCCCAGTGTCTTAAAAAAAAAATCGTGCCGGCCCGGGCAGTCGGGCACCACCCGCTCGCCCGTGTGGTGGGCCGGTGGCTCGGCGCTTCCCGCGCCCGCATCAGAAGCCAGACCAACCCAACCCGCGGCATCCACGCGTCCCTCCCCCTCATATACCGCCCCTTGCCTCCTCCGCTTCGCTCGCCCGCCCGTTGCCGTAGCTTCCGTCCGCAACCGCCGCGGCCGACACGCACCCGCTGGCCTGACCCGCTCCGGCGCATGCGGCAAGACGCCGTCGCCGCCGCGCCCACGGCGGCCGGCGCCTCGCCGCGGATCCCCCTCCCGATGGATGCTGTGGTCATCGATATCGAGGGGGCGCCTTTGCAGGCGGAGGCCCCCGGGCTGGGGTGCCGGATCTGCCACCTCGGTCCCGAGGACGGCGAGCCGGCGGTGCCAGGTTCCGAGGTGATACGTCTAGGCTGCGGCTGCAAGGACGAGCTCGGCGCCGCGCACCGGCAATGCGCCGAGGCGTGGTTTAGGATCAAGGGCGATAGGTATCCCTCGCTCCATCCTCCGCTGGATCATCTGGATCCTGTTGCTCGCTTTCTTTGATATATACATATATGTGCAGTGATCTGGGGTTGGGATGCGGGATGGGTGTTTGGGCTAATTCCCTAGCGAGTGCTGCAAGCCTGCAACGGTACAGGGGCTGTAGAGGCGTTGTGACTGCACATACGGTGAATGGTGATGGCTTAACTCGTAGTAACTCATAAGGGAGTATTTTGATCTGAATAGTTCTAGGGTCATACCAGTTTCTCAGGCAAACTATAGAATTCACATGGGGCCGCTGGAATAATGCATCTATTTTACTGCAACCCTACACTAATACTAGCATGCCTTTGGCTTGGTCGACTATTTATTTATATCTGAAGCCGCAGGTTCAAATGTTGAGCATCCAATTATACTCATGAAAGCAAAAACATTGATTACCTGATGAGGCCTCCTTTATTTTTTTTTGGGAAAAGATGATGGCGTAGATGAAGCAAAGAACTATATTCGTGCGCTTTGGTTGCTGGGCCTGTACTTTTCAGTTTTTGTATCGGTGATCTGTGACTGCTTTAAGGCTTTATGTCACTCTCATGTGCAAGCTGCTTACCTTTTCACATACACTGTTATAAGACCAACTGATTGAGCAAGGTTTTCGTAGTTTGCAGCTAGCAACACTTCGCTTTATTTGTCATCTTCATGCTTTCACAATCTCTTATTGATCTGTCGTTAGATCTCTGGAACTTGTGTCAAGTGACCAAGAATTTTAAACCTTCAGTTTCCATGCAGGCGCTGTGAAATATGTGGTTCAGATGCCAAAAACATTACCGGGTTGGAAGTGAAAAAATTCATGGAGCAGTGGCATGGCCGAAGAGTGGCACACACCCAAACTACTGAGGAGAGAGAAAGTCATTGTTGTTGGAGACAGCAGCCCTTTTGTAATTTCTTGTTAGCAAGCTTACTGATTGTTTTCATGCTGCCCTGGTTTCTCCGAGTAAATTTGTTTTGATTTTGATGCCACTATTGGGCTGTGTGGATTCACAGCTTGTTAACTCGGCTACCATCCTAAGGATGGATTGTGTAGATATCCATAGGCACAACCACAGCACAGCTCCTGAAATATATATTTTTTAAGAAATTCCCTTTCGATATACTTACATTTTAATCTCCTGGATGCTTAATCAACTGAAAGATTACTTTGACTTGGACGCTTGACGACAGGAACTCGTAATTAAAAAGTGCAGGGTCGATGACTGCTGGGTGAACAATTCCAGAAGTATGAGGTACCTAGTTTGACGGCCTGGCATCTCAGTTGTTTGGGATTCAGAAATCTTTACTATTATAATGCTATGCTCCTTTTGTCAATCAGCTTCTTTGTTGGTTAACTATTTTGTTCTGTGTGCACGAGGATATAAGCTGAAATCCAATGAGTCGCATGAGTTTGGAGGAATTTTCAAGTAGTTTGGCAGGTAATAAGGTCTCACAAATGCATTATACTTATGTTTGGCTCAATGAAGCAGCCTGTTGAACTGCCCTTTTACCTTACATATTATGAGCGTGATATATTTCGTGAAGACCTCTTGTACTTTTCTTTGCTTCTATGACTCTGTTTCTTTATTCAATCTTCATTGCTGTCATGAGATAGGTTATTATTATTGTTCTGAAAATGAAGAGTGATCTGACTAGGAGATATCCAAATGTCACTCTCTCGGAGATTTGGGACTCTGGTAATTATTTTATGAAACCACACGCAATATGCCTTACCACCATGTTGACTTTCTTTACCCCTTTGGACTTCTCTTTTTTTTCGCAAACGGGGTTGTACCAGTGTGGTTGTGAAACAAGAAAATGCAGACAGACGATTTCTTGTTGCTACCAGTACCAGCTGGTATATTGCTTTACTCTGAAAAGTGAGCTGCACAATCAGTAGTGTAAATAGGACATATAAAAGAGAACGAAAAATAGCTCAGAACTTTACCAGCTTTCAGAATGCACAACTATCTGCTGGAACATGCATTTCCATCTCTACTCTGTCTATTTGTTGTAGTTTCCCTTGTTGTGCCAGTATGGACATCTGGATTTTTGAATGTCATTGATATGCACCATTCTGGTGACACAAGTGATTTGTTTATGTCTTGCATCATAGTATTATAAATCTGATTCTTAGAATTCAGACATATATTGGCCATCATGGCCTAATATGTTCCCACTCAAACAAAAATGGAAGCCATTTAGGAGCAACAGTAAGAGCCGTAGCAATTGGTCCATTATGTAGTACTGGAAATCCATGATTTCTATTAAGAAGAAAAAATGCACCCAAATTTGAGTTAATGATGACTTAGACCTAGGTGGTTGGGATGCATGTCGACACCTTCTATTCCAACTAGATAAGGCCCTGTTTGGATGCATGGGGCTAAAATTTAGCCTAGGGCTAAAGATTAGCTCTTAGTATGAAGAGGCTAAAGTTTAGCCCATGGGGCTGTTTGGATCCAGTGTGAAACGACCTGATTTTCGCGAAGGTAAATCCATAGAGTCGAAGTGTAATAAGACCGTTGTAGATCATATTACCCAAAATTCCAGTCGAATATCATATCCATACAACGTAATATCAGAGTACAAATAGTGCGGAATTACATAAATTATTACATCGCCGCATTGGCAGAATCAAAAGTAGCATTCATTCAGAACAGCTTGAAGGCAAGATCGCCAAACTCGAGCGTAGGAACGAACCCCTCAACCGTCAAACTCCTCAGAGCTATACTCCTCAGCAGAACCTGTGCCAAAATTTATCAGTACGATTTGTACTAGCCACTCCCACCCTATGAGCATTGCTTTGTGGAAATTGGATGCAAGTTGGATATATTCAAAAGGAACCTATAAGGCTGGGGTTTTCTATGTATTAGCATATCAAGTATTTAATAACAGTTGGTCAAGTTTTAACATCAATCCCACACCCATTCCACCCCATTTCTGTCCAGAACTAGGTTTTGATCCTGGGATTGATATACCACCATCTCCACATCATCACCATACCATCGCTCAGTCGACAGGCCAACTCCCTATCGGCACTGTCTCATGGCCCATAGCCCCTGGCTACGACCGACACTCACTCACAGGGGGAGAAGAGAAGGACTCATCTCACTATCTAGTTTAAGCGAAACCCGGGAAAGGTCCATAGCCAACAAGTCGGCATATGTATTGATCGATCAACCATACACTCTGTAAAGGTTTTACATAACCACAAGATCCACCTTCCTCGCTGACCGTCGTCAACTGGGCTGATTCCGGCCGCTTGCTAGCCTAGGATAATGCCTCCCTACCTTTTAGCCCTGGTACACCCCAAGTCTGGTCTGGGGTGGCTGAAACTGTGAGTCATGAGCCGGGTCCACAAGGTCTCCATAAAGTCTCGGAAGGGTGTGGGGGGAAATCCTCCGCGCCCCGTACCTCCCTCGCACTGTCCGCTATCAACCTAGCAGTAGTGGCAATATCCTACCAAGTAGTCCGGCCGTTCCACACCATATAGGGCGAGTGGTACGTAAGGCTTCCCGGTGAATCTAAGTACTAGTAAATTCTTAGGGATGACTAAGCCAGAATGTCTTCATCAGGGTTTTCATTTACCGTGCCACCACAGCACCTCCACCCTGGGCTCCTCCCATCACAGGTTCACACCCAGGGCCACCTCATATATCATTTACCCACCATAGGTATCCATTTCCAGGGGTGCCCAGGTAGCACCCCACGACAAGACTTGCCCTAGACTCGTCGTATACTCCAACTTGGTCGACACAACCCTCACCCTCCACGCACCCAAGCCACACACGCAGCACTCTCCCCATAGTCCAGATAACACCAGTTTCCACCATGCATCAATGTAGTACAAGCGTAGTAGAAGTAATAAGCAATGAAATGTAGCAGCAAGCGTGTGTCTAGCCTAATGGCAGGGTAAGCAGGGGTAAGGTTGCATCAAGGTAAAGGCCATCAAGTAAGCATACTACCATGCAAGTCCTATCTTAGTGTGAGTATAACAATAAAGTAAAGCAATAGCAGTTCTATATTAGCCATGCGTAATAGGTGCTACGAGGTTGGTGGGATGTGGCACCTTCAGTGAAGTCGTCTCTGTACTCCTCACGGTACTCTCGGTCCTCGTCCGTCTGGTTCTCCTCCGAGTCTGCAAACGATCGCATTATAGTCGCGTTAGCGACGTCTATAGAATAGCACAAAAAGCAATGAAAATTTAAAAGAGCCAAATGCACTCAAACATGGGTTCATTGCGTAGAGCTCGATTTTAGATGAATTTTGGTTCTGGTCTTGTATTTTTCTGAGGTCGTATGAATTAGTTATGAATTTTCGAAGATTAAATCCATTTCTGAAAATAATGAAGGTTGATTGATTCAGGGCTGACACGTGTCACACTGTGACTGGTTCACGTGGCATGTAGGGACTTGGAGTGGGGTATCGGCTGGTGAGGTGGTCGGAGAGGTCGCCGAGGTGGTTGGAAAGATCGCTGAGGAGGTCGGAGAGATCGCCGAGGTGGTCGGAAAGATCGCCGAGGAGGTCGGATAGGTCGCCGAGGAGGTCGGAGAGACCGCCGAGGTGGTCGGAGAGATCGCCGAGGTGGTCGGAGAGATCGTCGAATTGGTCGGAGAGACCACCGAGGTCCCCGACGTTGGCGTGGTCTCATCTTCGGCATGACGTCAGCATGGCGTCATCAGAGCTAAACTGCGGCTGACAGGTGGGTCTCGGGGTCAGACGGTGACCGACAGGTGAGGCGCGGTTCATGGTGAACCCGCCTGCGTTGGTCCATAGACCGCAGAGTCGGTCTATGAAGGACTTGGTCTACTTACTCCTTCCCAGGGTTCGGTTCACGTGCACCAAGTGCACGGACGTGTGGCCGACGAGGGGAAAATCCCCATCTTCTTCCCCGGCGTGCTCCCACCGGTGGTGAGCTCACCGGCGAGCCCCTCCAGCGGCGCGGGTGTGCAATTAAGGTGGGCAAAAGCTTGGCCTTGCCATGGCGGGTGCCCCGGTGAAGTTAACGTGGTGGCCGGGCGGCTCCAGTTGGCTGG